AATGTTGTAGTGATTTTGTAATTTGTAATTGTGCTTCGTTAATGTTGTAGTGTTTTGCACCTCAGGGCCACCGTAGGGGACCTTTGTATCTCTGTTAGAGATTTGTAGTTTGTTTTTGTTTATCCTGGACTTTAAGTCCATTTTTGTTTGGTTAAGATCTTTGGTTTACAACTCTGATTGTTTTGTGGATTTTGTTTTACTTAGTACATTTTGTTGTAAGTCCCTACATTTTGATTATTGTTAATTTTTACCTTTTTATTTTTGTTAAAACCCAAACAATAAACCTCTAAATTGTTAAACCTTAACATCTAGGTTTCTTTAATGTTACTTCCCTTTCCCCTGGCCGAGCCGGGTCGTAACAGATGTTATAAATGTAAGAATGATAACAACACAAAAAATTCTAACAAATTGCCATCTATTGGATCCTAATATCTATACCTAAAATTCTCATAATGATCCCAGTATTATTTAAAAAAACGAAAAATCTTCTTTTTCCCCTCACTGTGATTTAACTGATCAACAACATTCTCAAATTTCAATTCCTTATTAAAACCTAATTTCATTTTAATGGGTGCTTTCTTCTTTTATTTCCAATTTTGACTTCCAATGATTCACTTCCTGCTAAAGAGCCCCCTGGTGGTTGAAGAAAAATCCACACATAAGCCGCATGATTCACAGCTTAGGAAAAAAAGTAGCAGTTATAGTCCAGAAAATACAGTATATGAAAAAAATATATATAAACGGTCTCTGGTATTGTTCAGGGGGCCTGACCAAATGTGGAGGCGGGCCGGATCCGGCCCACGGGCCGTAGTTTGGGAACCACTGATCTAGAGAAACTCATCCATACGTTTGCATTGATTACTCCAACAGTACTCCACAGGTCTGCCTAAAAAAATCAGACGGCTGTAGCTGATCCAGAACACTGCTGCTCGCATTCTTACTAAACCAGAGACAGAGCACTGAGGCTCTAACATTCACAAATGACAGTGAAATAAAATTCAGTCCAACATCTGGTTTGAAGTGATTCCTCTGGAACCTGTTGGAGGAAAAATATCCCAACTTCAGAAGTTGTGCTTTTAACTTTACAGAGCTCTGTTGTTCCTCCTATCAGTATGAGAGTCAGGGTGAGGAGGCGCCATGTTAGGAAGAGAAGTGGAAGCTGCAGGATCTTCAGAACAAACAGGTCATGATGCTAGGCTACTGATTATCCCTCTGTCTCGACACAGGATCAATATAACCAGTTTAAAAGGTAAAATTAATGGTTATATGACAGACATGAAGAACTGGGATGCACTCCATGATGTTCAGAATTTAGGTCTCATGGCATCTCAAGATGTCAACATTGCAGCCAGTGGGTTGAGGGAAATACAGCTTTATTTTGTAGCAATTCAAGAGCTACCCAGCTTTTATCGCTTCGCAAAAAAACTTAATCAGCACAGAAACTCCAAAGCACACAAAGAAGCTCTATCTATCTATCTATCTATCTATCTATCTATCTATCTATCTATCTATCTATCTGCACATCGGGGTGGAGGAGCAGCAGGTGGCAGCGCAGAATTTAACAGTAACTAAACAGGATCCATTCATAATAAGTTTGGGTTGTGATGCACAAACCAAAAGCACCATTGTGTCAGGTCAGTGTGATAATTTGACCCTAATTACTTATTTCATTCATATTGCTCTTATAGAGTCTCAGTGAAAACGTGATTATTATTATTAACGCTTTGGTGCAAAAAAACTGATTGAACATCGATTTATTTACTGCATATTTATGTCTGTTAAGGCTAAGATGGAACGGCACTGAAAGCAGCCCTTTAAACCATTCAGACACGAACACAATGGAGACACAATCAGATGACTTATTACCCCGCGATAATAACTCAATAGTCCATGGAAAAACCTTATAAGCTTGTATTAAAGCAGAAAGTACGGCAGCCACCGTAAAAAAGGCTTAAAGGATCAATTATGCAGCATGAACTGATCAGTAGATTATTGCGAGGGAACGCAAAAGTTTTGCGAAGGAACGCAAAAGTTTTGCGAGAGAACGCAAAAGAAAAAAAATTCCCCATGTCCCCTGGGGGGCTCCGTAACAGGGTATTTTGGTCAATTTAAGTGTAAAAAAACACATATATGATAAATTGCAATACTATTAATTTATGTGGTGGCTTATATTCTTAAATAGATTTTCTGGACTATCAACAAGTGATGATTCAATTCTCGCACTTTATGGTGCATCACACATTTATGAAATAATTTAAGAAAACAAAACTGCTAAAGATCATTAGATCATGTTTCTTAATAGTAATGATAGTGAAATTAATTTTTATCCATAATTTTTACAACCCGATTGAATAAAGAGCCAATGCGTTTGGTTACAGTCAAACAGGCCTGTACCATGCTTTCATACAATAATGACAAAAAAATCAAAGAAACTACAACCCAAGCCAGGTGCCTTTGTCATTCATGTTTCTGATTAGTTTGAAGCAATATTACTTTGTGTTGTTTTTGAAATTGTCTTTATGTGTTTATCAACTTTAAGTTGAGGATCCTACTGGCTGTCAGTCTGATGTGGAGGAGGGTAGCTGCGCATGATAAATCGCCATGGTAATTTATGTGTTACCGCTTTTGTGAAACCGAATCAAGGTTTATTTAAGCCAGCATATCCGGAAAATCCCATCTTAATCCTCAATCCTGGAGTTAAAAAATGCTATTTGATAGTTACATTTCGGGGAAAAGAAGGTAAGACTAATTGGTTCAAAAACAAACAAACAAACAAAAAGAATCAATAAAAGTATATAATTTTTAGGACGTGAAAATTTTTGACATGTGAGACAAAATTATGTACGACCAGTAGGCGGCGGCACTGAGGTGCAGGAGAGCGGGGGGTTGAGCCAGTCCCAGGCTGACTGGAGAGCAGCTCACGCGGGGAGAGCAGTCTGGTAAAGGAGGGCTGCTCGAAGGAGGAAGGTGCGAGGGTTTTCTTGGATTTAAATAACCTGACGTGTGCGGTTATAAAAGGAGGAATTTTAACAAAGGAAATGAATATCATTTGGGTGTGGACGGCCATGGCGACTGTGGAGGTAAATGCTGTTTTTTTTTTTTTTTTAATTTTTTTTTTTTAGACAGAAGAGAGAGCAGCCGTAGCTGCAAGGGACCAGATAGATGCTCTCTGAGGAAATTGGGACAATGCAACTGAGTCTGAGTTGTTTTATTGGTTCTCCGCTGTTCGCGGTGATTCAGGGCGGACAGACAGCGCATATCTCCTGCTGGGTGTCAGGAAAAGATGCTGCTGGTTCTAGACCTGCCTCTGTGCCGCACTTTGCTCATAAAAAAAGACGAATGCAGACGGTGCGTGACGGCTAGAAATGTGAGCTCAGTCAGTCCGGACAGAGACAGTCATCCTTCTGTTCTGCGTTTTGCCCGTTCCTGAGCCTCATCCTGACTGAAATGGTTCGCACTCTTCTGTTGGGTTAAGTCAGGCTAAAGCGTTAGAAACTGAGGCTGAGGAGAAAGATGGCAGGTTTCTAAGCTTCAAAACTGACGTCGTTTCGATGTCTATATAGCTACATCTGCGTCTATCTGACGGCCCAGCCGCCTCTTCTAGGGATCTGTGGCAGTCTTTCCAAATGTGGGAATCTGTTGGGGTGTGATCAAGCTGGAGTTATTGTCTATTGCAGTAGATATTACTAATAACATACCATAATGTTACCTGCTATGTTGTGCAGATACAGCCTCACCAGTAATGGCAACTTTGAAAATCCCCCCTTTCCAGGCCATCTGGCCCCCACAGTTATATTTTAACATTTCTGCCAACCACGTTCTTGTTCCCTCTCAGTCTTAGTTGATCATATGAACATGTTGTTTGTATCTTCCTAAGGAAGTGGCTTGATGAAATCAGCAATAATCATCATCATTTATGAGGCTCGGTTGGCAGTGATTGTATGCTGAGAATATATTGAAGGAAAAAGGAAAAATTTCGGTAACACTTTATTTGAAGGGGGTTATGACAT